GTATCCAGCGGAACACCATCTGCTTCCCGGATTGGGACAGTGTAGTAAGAAGAGTTAAAATGTTCTGAACGATGGGATGTGAAGAATCCAAATCCTGCAGTGCCAAAAGGCTACTAAGAGAGTCCGATAAAACTAGGTGTTGATCGTCACTGTCAACTATGAAATGAAATGCTTTAAGAATGGCTATTAGCTCGGATGTAAAGACCGATGCGTGACCAGGCAAAGCAAAAGACCGTGTGCCAGGACCATGTACAAAAGCACATCCAACACTGGCATCCACTTTCGAACCGTCCGTGTAGGTCTTCTTGTGATCCGGGTACGACGCGATCAGCTCCAAAGACCCCAGCCGAAACTCATCCGGAGACATCCGCCCCTTCGCGAAATGGGAAAGTGAGACATCCACCGCTGGTGGGTAGAGCTTCCAAGGAGGGGTCTCAGGAATTTCCCAACGGATCACATGCCGTGTGCGAATACCACATTCTCGCAAGAGCATGAACATCCTCACACAGAAAGGTGCGATCCGATGTCCTGTCCCAGTCAGAAACGTGCGTATTGTTCGGCGGGAGAAGACCTACTTGTATGTTGGGCGATCGGGAACTGTGCCAACTTACAGGCATATTTCATGCCTAATATATTTCTCCTAGTGGACAAAGGGGGTTCGTGGGCCTTAACAAGGGGGCTTGCTGTCGGAGAGGTGCTGAATGCACCTGTTGCGATACGTAAGGCAGTATGATGTATCGTGTCCAATGAGCGCTTTACTGACTCACAAGCGCCGTCATAAACAAAAGAAGCATAGTCGAGCTTGGATCTGATAAGAGAGCGATAGAAGGGGGAGACTGAAGCAGGTTCAGTTTGTACTAAGACCAGAAGCGCTAGATTTACGTGCGACACTATATACTGTGCTGGCGCATTTCCTATGTTACCAGCGGGGACAGGAAAGCCAAGAGCACAGAAGGACGTGCTACGAACCACTTTGTTTAAAGGGATTGAGTGCGTTTTTGCCCACAAAACTGAGCTGCCTCCAGAAAGGGGCAGATCAAGGTAACAGAAGTCAGAAAGCAGCTGGGGCAAAATGGTTTCATCTGCACCAATGAACGTTCCGAAATGCAACGCACCGTGTGCTTCCACCCCTTTAAGCACATTGTACTTTAACTTTCTCCTCTTACTTTCGTATTTTCCGCGTACTTTCTCCACAACCAGCTGACGCAATGTTGTTCTTCGAGAAGTTAACAAAAATAGCTCGTTTGTAGCAGAGAACTCAAAAAAGATTTCCTTTGTATCGCATTACTAAGTTATACTGTTATAGCATGATGACATTTGATGCCTACGTAGAATACGCACTTTGTTTCTTACCTTGATGTTGAAGTCAGGTGGTTTCTATGGCATGGTTTGACAACAGCCTTGATGAACTACTCACCTTCATCGACCAGCATTGCCAACTGCCTAGGCTCCAAAGCTAATGATTACTCAAATAACGGAATAATGACCAGCGGCGTCGCTCATAGTGCTCTGATAGTGATCTAACGTGATGCTCTGACAGTGCTCTGACAATGGTGCTCTGACCTGCTTGTAACTTAAATAAAAGCACCATGCCGCATTCCAGTTCAAAAAGGAAACCTGTGCAATGCAGCTTTTCTGATTAGCTTTTTGCAGGCATTGGCGATACCAGACGTGGTCTGTACCGGCTTCTGACGTGCAGAGTAAAGTTCGCGTCGGATTGGACGGGACGCATTCGGTGTAAATGCAGGGGAGATAGAAGAGATGCCTCCAAATGATGCCATGCAGATGGGGGAAAGCATCATATTTATTGCCACCGACTGATGCCTTGCTGGTTAACTGCGTTACTCCCACCGTGCTACTCACACCGTGTTACTCGTATTGTGTTACTGGTACCGTGTTTCTCGTACCGTGTTACTCGTGCTGTGCCACTCGTGCCGTGCTACTGGTACCGTGTTACTGGTGCCGTGTTACTCGTACCGTGTTACTCGTACTGTGTTACTAGTACCGTGTTACTCGTACCGTGCTATTCGTGCCGTGTTACTCGTACTGTATTATTCATACCGTGTTACTCGTGCCGTGTTACCCGTCCTGTACTGTACTCATGCCGTATTAATCGAACCATGTTACTCGTACTGTATTACTCCTGCTGTGTTACTCGTACTGTGTTACTCGTACCGTGTTTCTTGTAACGGGTTACTCGTACCGTGTTACGCGTGCTGTGTTGCTCATACCGTGTTTCTTGTACAATGTTACTCGTACCGTGTTACTCGCACCGTGTTACTCGTGCCGTGGTATTCGTGCCGTGCTACTTGCTCCGTGTTACTCGGACCTTGTTACTCATGCGTGTTACTCGTGTTGTGTTGCTCTTATTGTGTTACTCATATCGTGTTACTCATACCGTGTTAATCAAGCCATGTTACTCATGCTGTGTCACTCGTGCTGTGTTGCTCATACCGTGTTTCTTGTGCCGTGTTACTCGCACTGTGCTATTCATACTGTGTTACTCGTGTTGTACTGCTCATACCGTGTTACTCATACCGTGTTACTTGTACCGTGTTACTCGTGCCGTGGTGCCCGTGCCGTGTTACTCGTACTGTATTGCTTATATCATGTTACTCATACCTTGTTAATCGAACCGCGTTACTCGTACCGTGTTACTCGTGCTGTGTTGCTCATACCGTGTTTCTTGTACCGTGTTACTCGTACCGTGTTACTCGCACCGTGTTACTCGACCCGTGGTATTCGTGCCGTGTTATTCGCGCCGTGTTACTCGTACCTTGTTGCTCGTACTGTGTTAATCATGCCGTGTTACTCATACCGTGTTAATCAAACCGTGTTACCCATACTGTGTTACTCGTACTGTGTTGCTCATGCCGTGTTTCTTGTACCGTGCTACTCGTACCGTGTTACTCATACGATGTTACTCGTGCTGTGTTGCTCATACCGTGTTACTCATACCGTGTTACTCGTACCGTGTTGCTCGTGCCGTGGTGCTCGTGCCGTGTTACTCGTATCTTGTTACTCATACCGTGTTACTCGTGCTGTGTTGCTTGTACTGTATTACTCATAACGTGTTACTCATACCATGTTAGTCGTACTGTAGGGCTCGTACTGTATTGCTCATGTCGTGTTACTCGTGCCGTGTTACTTGTACCATGTTACTCAGAATACTGTCACTCAAAACAGTATCACTTGTCGATGTTAGCTTACTCGTATTGTGGCATTCAAACCCTATCACTCATGCCTGGACGATGAGAAAGGCTAAAGTAAGAAAGACTTTGAGCTCCTTGTTGTTCGGCGTTATGAGAGTAGACTTTCCACGTTGGCACTGGCCAACACTCAGTATGCCAGGAGGTCCCGGTTTGGTGACGTTGTACCAGGAGGTACTGGTCCGATGACGTTATCAAGCAAACATGGATTGCATTGTCAAGACAAGATGTTTCGGGGGCCATGCTGACTGGCGACCAACACCACAGCCTAAAACGTCGTGCATTGACAAGATTTACAGTGCTTGCAGGATGACATCGCTTCAATCTCGCCCCAATTCGCCGCTTTTCATAATGTGAACTGATAAGGGGCGATGCGACCCTCCTGGTATTTCAAAAGTAATGACGGCAGGGCTCAGTGGAAAACACCAGGGAATTTTTCTCAACGAGGTATCCGATTGGCACTGGGTCTGATGCTGTTAGGTCAATCAGCCTCATTATGCCAGGTCCAAATCATTTTTTTGTAAAATCGTGCTTTTCAGCTTTACATCATACGTACGAGACCACGCATTGTGGCGACACAAAACCTAAGCAGGTGTGTATTGTGCTCCATTTTGAGTACGATGGTCTATATTTGTATGTGCTCTGAGGAAGTATTTGTGATATACGTCTCCGTTAAAGATGCTGTTCCACATTTGTATGAGGTCTTGAACTGAAATAGCCAGTTTGGAAGTCATTTGGTGCAGTTCGCAACCCTGCCACTCTTAAGACCTAAGCCACCCTAGTTTATAAGCTACACCGGAATGCCCATGTGCTCACTATTTCGGGGAGACTATTTCAAGGTAAGTCAGACATTCATGATATCAAAATGTCGTCATTGAGAGCCTGCCATTTCATTAGCCATGCGGCAATCAAGGCCGGGAAAATATAATTATTTTCGAGTCGTTTATATCTGATGTTCGTGGCCACGATTTCCAAATACAACAGCTGGCAATCGGCTCTCAATCTACGTGCAAAGAAAAATAGCGTACTCATACAGTGACGTAATGAGAAACATATTTGCTACACATATCAATCTTGTTTTCTACAGCAGCCTTCTTCACTTAAAAATGTTCCAGTTGTTCTTAAGGGCTTATTTCGTTGCACCTGATACTTGTTTCAATATCTTCAAATGTTGGACATTCCTTTTAACGTAACAACGTCGGCCCGCCACGCGTGTTCCGCGGCATCGTCGGCTGGCTCCAGCCGCCCGCTCAGGTGGTAGACCGTCGCGCAGTACTTCTAAAAAGCCGTCCCGGCTCCGAAAGCAGAAAAATGAACAGACATATTTTTGGTGTCAAAACACACGCCATGCTTGCCTGGACGTCCATGCATACATGCATACATACACAGGCTACTAAACAGTTGGACACGATTGCACAGCATACCGGATACGTATCTAAAAAGCCTTAGTGGGTCGCATTGACCCCTGCTTTTAGGTCGAGGGTTAATCAGTACTCCTGGCAGCTATATAAGAGTTCGATAACTGTCAGCATACGAAGTACGAGCTCATTATCACTTACACCTGTGTCGCTCATGCCGTGCTACTCACGCCGTGCTGCTGAAAGCGGTGTCATCCAGGGCGTGTCACTCAAAAGAATGCAATTAGAGCAGTCACTCGGACTGTCACTTATGTCATGTCGCTCACATCGCCTCACTTATATGGAATCATTCATTCCTGATCATAACGTCATGTCATTCATGTCATGTCAATCGTAGCGTGTAGCTCATGGCATGTCATCCAGAGCAGTCCGCTCAGAGCAGTGCCCTCAGAACGTTGCACGAGGAGGCACGCTCAGTTTGCAGCACGTCACCTGCCGGTCCTGGACGGACCGGGTGCTGCAGGAGGCGAGCGTGCAGGCACTCGGCGCCCAACAGCATCAGGCTGCACACCACCCCGGCGGCCAGCAGCAGAAAGGCGGAGGCCATCACCGGCAGGCCCAGACCCTGCGGGCACAGAGGGCGCCACCGTAGAGCGGAAACTATCAGCGCTGGGGAGAGCACATCTGGCGTGCAGGGCGCCACTGTACACCAGAGGTCACTAATACCACCGACAGCCCAGATCCTGCGGTTACAGAAGGCACCACTGTAGAACGGAGGCCACCGCCGTCAGGCCCAGGTCCTGTAGGTATAGAGGGCCGCTGCTACCCAGTGGCGATGATTACCACGACGCACATGCCCTGCGGGCGTAGAGGCCGCTACTGTATGGAGAGGGCACCATCGGTTGTAGTAGAGTGAATGTGACCATCAGTAGGCCCCTATTCTCCGCATATAGAGGGCGCCACCGTGGAGCGGCGAGCTTCACCGCCAGGCGCCGGCCCTGCAGGTACGCAAGGCGCCGCAGCAGGGCGGAGACGACCATGGCCAGACCAAGGTTTGGCCCGCACAGGTGGCGCTGATGAAGGGGAGGAGGTGACCACGACAGGCCAAGGCTTGGCCCGCACAGGTGGCGCTGATGAAAGGAAGAAGCGGCCACGGCCTGGCCCAGGGGATGAAGAGGACACTTCCGTGGGGCATGATCGCCATGCGATCCATGTAGGGGATATTGTTCACTGGTCACAGTAGGCGACTCCATGGTCAGAGTAGTTTACTGGTCATTGACTTTCGCTATTGTTTCGATGAAGGCATGTTGCCGAAATATCAACCTAACTACGTTTCCATTATTCTCGTTTTTCTCCGAGGAATAAGGCTAATAGTATTGTCTTACGTATGTGAATAATGTTCCTCGCTGCTGCACTGAACAGCTTAGGTCATTTTTACCCAGGTTACACACAGTTGAGATCCAGCAGGAAGACCCGCTAGGCGAGGGTCAGGAATGTGTATTTGAAATCAGGTTCATCTGTGTAACTGGTTCTCGAGGGGGCTCTCACGGTTCTCCAGTTTGTCCTCACAAAGAGCCTGCATGTTCCAGGACGCAAAGCTTTATCGCGCGACGGACACAAAACTTGTGTCTTCACCTCAGCCGACCTCACTCGCCCACCAGCGTAAGGGTGTACGTCAACCTCCGAAGTCAATGGCCATCAGCCTCCACCTTCAGCTTCAGCTCCAGCTTCATCAGCTCCTACCTAGGAGAATCCGTCTCTCACGCTGAGGCTTCTGCTTTCTGCCCGCCATTTATCTCTGAGCATCGGCGTCGGCAGGCACGCCCGTCCCCGCGGCCCCTGACGCTGACGCTGAGGCTTCTGCTTTCTGCCCGCCATTTATCTCTGAGCATCAGCGTCGGCAGGCACGCCTGTCCTCGCGGCCCCTGACGCTCACGCCGCCCGCTGACCGGGTGTTCCCTACGGCCCACCGCTGGGGGCGTGGCTGGCTCCGCCCGACTCAGTAGCTGATGGTGTGGTGAGAGCGGGCCTTGGTCGGCGTTTGTCGGGTTCACATGGGTCAGTGGATGACTTTTCAGGATGGCTTCAGCCTCTGTTAGCAGATAACTGAGAATAGGTCCGAAGCCTTTCCATTGGATGCATTTCTGGAACCAGAGCCCACGGTTTGCTCTGAGCAGTGCCCACGTTCAGAGCAGTGCTTGTGTGAGCCCTAGCTTTACTATCGGACCTTAAAATTACAGTCCAGTGGCAGAATTTAGCGGCAAAAACTTTTTAACGTACCCTGATACCCGGTACGGTCTGCCCCGCCCTCTGACGTCACCTGACTTCCAGTGCGGCCGCCGCCACCGGCCGCAGGCCTTTCCAACCAGGAGCAAATGGCGAGGTGCACTACAAGACGCGTGGTGTGCACTGCTAGTCAGGTAAACAACTGAACGGCTATTGTTTTTTTGTTGTTTGGTCGATGAACGCAAATGCCCAGGACAGACAGCCCTGAGGCTGTCCCGGGGGATCGAACTCGCCGTGCACGACCTGTGGCGCAGCGGCTTGGTCAGCTCTGCACTTTATTCAGAACGTTTCCCCGCCCCGTCGTAGCGCTGTTTGTGCTACAGCGCAGCGAGGCAAAGAAGAAGCCACAGTAACGTGAAAAACTCCTGCGCGCTTTTCGATGCGTGAGTATCCAGTAACAGGGTTGTGAGGTGCGTTCCCAGGTAATCACGCCCTATGACGTCATTGGTAACTACGACAAGACGATCAGCACGGTATGTGCGCGTGACACCATGTGTGACGTCATAGGCAGCAATCAGGGAACGGCAGTTGGTAATGGGGAGCGAACCGCCGGTAGCGGTTGTTTGCAGTGCAGCTCACCGGTGCCTGCTGCAGGCCACAGTCCGGCCGGACCCCGTTGAGCCAGGTTCTCTGCAGGTGCTCCATGACCCCGGTCTCTCGCATCCGCGCCAAACTGTCGGCAGAGGACTGACTCATCTTCTCCGGTCCCAGACAGGGAGCCTCTCCGGTCACCGACAGGGGGCCTGCTTCGGTCACAGGCAGGGGGCCTGCTTCGGTCACAGGCAGGGGGGCCGCTCCGTTCACAGACAGGGGTCCTGCTCCAGTCATCGACAGGGGGCCTGCCCCGGTCACAGACGGAAGGTGTGCTCCAATCACAGACAGGGGACCTGCTCCAATCACAGATGGGGGGCCTGCTCCGGTCACAGGCAGGGGGCCTGCTCCAATCACAGACGGGGAGCCCGCTCCGGTCACGGACAGGGGGCCTGCTCCAATCACAGGTGTTGGGCCACCGAAGACAGGGCAGATGCCAAACTTATCGGTCAAAGCATGACGGCACCTCGGCGCTAAATGAAGCCGCGACATTTCTGGTGAGACTGTATTTACAGCGCACAGTCATTTTGTACTGTTCATGTCGCGGTCAACAGCACAAGTCAGTGAGAAAACGACCCGGCTAAATGCCATGCGAGCGAGCCTCGAGAAAACGTAGGTGAGTGCATCTATCCCAGCAGAAAACATCTCTTCCAGTTCTTCAGGTCATCTACCCCTTGCTCGCGCAAAACAAAACAAAAGTGTTCCTGGGAGGATGTGCCCCATCACTCGCAAGCTACATGGGGAACAAAGCAACAATCTCTTGAGTAAGGCATGTAATGATCACTAAGGTGGCTGGGTCTCCTTCATTGTAGTGCTGATTTATCGCGTCCCATAGTGCGACCTTTTGAATGTGACCATGTTGTGCTTACTTTCCGGCTGCTCATACCTCCGCAGTCGGCATCACTGCTCATACCTCCGCAGTCGGCATCACTGTCAACCGGAGCTTGCGCACAGTGCGCTAAGCGAACAGAGTCATACATTGGACGTCGTTACGTCATGATTTGCTTACCCAATCCGTCGCTATCGGTGTGGCTGTGCCAAAGCCATCCGCTACCCATTTGTAATCGGATGTTTCCCTCTATACAGATGCATATCATAATAAAATAGACCAGTTTGCATCGAGCTAATTACGTCCAAAAAAGCGCAGGCATTAGCATTGCGTAGCGGTTCTTTAAGTATCTTGCCGATATTTTGAAAAGGTTTTCCCTCTCCTGCCCATATTCTTTTCATGCCTGTAGTAATGTCAGCAAGTTTCGTTTGATCCGTACCCAAACCCAACTCGCTGCGCACTCTTTATTGGTACCCGTGGGTTTGCCCAACCTGTAAAACACGCTGTCACGCATGCAGAAGCGGCACACGCAGGCAGGACACTGCAGAGTGTGTTTTAAGCAAAGTGATGGTGGCTACCGACCGGTAATTGAAGAATGCTTCATACGGTGAGTTCTTCTGAAGACCAATGGCCGCTTGTCTGACGTAGTAGTCTCGCTTGATGTCGACGACATCGCATTCCTTCTGTCCTGAATATGCGAAACCAGGGAATGCGTTTAGATGTACACAATGTCATGCAAAGTGTCAGGGGGTGAAAAGACACTTTCAGTTCATGTAAATCGTATTATAGCGTGGTGAATTTCGTTTCGTACTTCGGGGCATCGATAGTGCAGTGGTTAAGCTGCGTGTCTGGGAAACCAGAGGTACGGGGTTGGATGCCCCGTATGTCAAATCACGTCATGACAAAAGAAGCATTACTCCCCAGCAATTTACATACTCACATATCTAACTTTTTGGGCCGCGATGATTCGATGTCAACGTATTTTGCAAAATCGCAAATCGTGTTGCATCGATAAGATATAGGAGCTCTGGTCATAATATATGGTGAAAGATGCTACAAAGGATGCTAGGATGTTCAAAGTACGTACACACATCAAATAAAAGTAGCGCAGTGCCTTCGAAGACACATTGCACGGTAAACTGATAAGATCAAACCAGTGAACGCAAAAGGTTTCCAACTACACCACGACAACGGCACCATAGCTCGTGACAGGTGAAAGGTAGAACCTTCCAACTTCAAGCCAGCTGTGAACGGGCCTTGGTCCGGCCACGCACCATTGTAGACTCCAAAGGAGGCTGCCGTCTCGGTCTGTATGCGCCTCTTTCCCTCCGCCCCGCTCTCGACCTCCAGAATGTGGTCCCTGTAGACGCGCTGAAGTGTCTCGAGCGGCGAAAACTGAAAACGCGCAGGCGGGGTGACAGGGCGCCGCCGGCAGGCTCTCCAGGCTCTTCTTGAGCAGCTCTCTGCTTGTGACAGATGTGCATCAGTGCGGTTTGGTGGTGACGTGGGATAATGCAATGAACGAATTTGACCCCTTTAAGATGACAGGATCCCCCGAATGCATTTGACAGGTTAGCCCCGTGAACAGGCCTTTCTATCTGGTTATGGAGAACGTGCCAAAGGTTACCGCGTGGGCGGCACCAGGAAGTCAGACATGGGAGATATGGTAGCATAGATGCAATGCCTCGCTTGTCCTGTTACAACTGAACCTATAAAACAGAGATCTCATCGAAAATTATCGAAAAATATCTGCAGCACTCCGACACATGCGTTGCGTATAATTGTATCGATTTTCAAGAGAAAAAGCTAATTAAATCCCGAAATCAACCTCTTGAGCTGATGAACATATGTTAAGTATAAACAAACCACATGCATCTTTAACGTTGCACATCTGATTAGATAAAACCAGCAGTGCTATTGTCTTTTGTTTTCTGGGCCTACCCCATCCTGTCGATTTTGTCTATCCCTATCGTCCTGGTATCGACCATGTCTGTCGGTTACGATTACCTGAGCAGGCCATTTCAAGAAAATGAGATTTCCGTCCTTGGAAAATCTAACAGACCTTCACTCGGTGAGTGGTGTAGGTGGTTGTGTGCACCACAGTGTGACTAGGACTTCGTTTTGCTGATATCGAGCTCAATGGATATCAAGGTATTGTCATCACATATCAAGTTACTCCTCACCGATTAGTCATTTGACGCGCTTGAATGGATATCGGTTAGGTGATCTGCTCGGATGTCATGCTTTCCAATAACCACCCCGAGTGCGCATTCTGGTGACAGTATAGCAGCTGGTCATAATTTTGCTGCGCTGGCAGCTTTGTTTTCCTGCATGCACTTCTCACAGCCACGCCGAACCGAAACCCATCGGTACGTCCCATCTGTTTTTCGGCGATGGCCCAAAAAGCAGAGGCGCGCCTATTTCTTTTTAGTTTAGGACGCTGTGGCCCAAAGTCATGCAATGTCGCCGACAACTCCAGTCGGCGGTCATTAGCCGTTACTCTCTTATTTCAGGGAGTAGCAGTGGCAGCGATGGGATATGAGGCCCAATTTCTCATGCAGCCATAATGATACAAAATGCAGATATCAGAAAACAGACAGAGATAGAGGAAAAAAGGAAGACAAATCAAGAAA